ACTAAGCCGGTAAGTCGAATTCGGGCTCGCTTGTGTGGGACACGTTATCGTATGCACGCAAGACAGGATTTTGGAGTGTGCGGCCGTACGCGTAGAACGCCGCTCAGAGATACTAAGCTATTAATATTTACTTAAATTATACCAGATTTATTTGATAACTAATCGTATGTGCCGATGTAATCATTTGCAATGAACGTATTCTGCGCAATACGTCTCTTTCTAGTTTCGCTGTAGCTTTGCTAGTTCTGGGGGTCTTGCCAGATAGAGGGGATACTGCCATAGAGATATCTGTTTCAGTTAAGGCTTTAAAAGCGTTGCAGTCCGCTACATTTAGATCAACTCACATCTTCAATCCGGTGAATCATGGAAGTTTCATTAAATTCATGTTATTAAAAGTTGAACGAACGTACATTGCGAGTGATTCGAAAAATCGTTAGAAAGTATCATCTCGAGTCATAATAATTTCACTTAAATATCCTTTTTATCTCAATTTACTGTTATGAAATTAAATATCACAACATTGAAAATCTTAAAATTGAGAGTTTTGCTGTTAAAGAACGTCTGCTTTTAAAGGGAGGATCATATTAAACCATTTTAATAACTTCTATAAAGTGATTGCTCAGAGTATGGAATATGCTACATTCGGTAGTCACAGAGAAGAAGAATGAATATTGAAGTCCGCTAAGTAAATTTCATGGATTCATTAGAATATCACTGAATAATTGGTGCGAGATATTTCAGTAAAACGATACTAGGATGATTTGATAGTGAACTTTAAACTTATATGCTATGAATAATAAAGTAAACGAAATGGATATAATAGGTAACTACAAGCCACATTAGCAAAAGATAGACAATCGGTTATTGTAGATAACGAGTTTATATTGTAAAATATTTTGATTGGCCGTATAAAATTGTCTTATTGTACTGTTATTCAATATAAAATAATTTTATTTGAATGAACTGTTGTGAATATAATTAGCCAATTAGAGATTACGACAATTTATCTCCTATTTTTAAATTGCCTTATTTTTTGCTGATTGGCGATGAAGGGCAAACTTGCAAAGTTTTTCAGTAAACTTTCTACTGACAAATTTCCGAAAGATAGCGAAGGTCGTCGACTTAATGAACCTAAACGTGAAGTAACACCAAAAGCTTCCTTTCCAGATTTGCCTCTGAGAGCAACCCGTGAAGCCCCATCCGAAGTATCTATAAAAGCCAGTGAAGCTGCTCTCAGTCGAATTGCGGCACAAAAGACACCACATAGTAACAAAACTAAATATTGTTAATATGTTTTCCAGAGACCTCAATTCAAAGAAGAATAGAGGCCGAAAATGCTCAGTTGAAAAAGCAATTACAGGAAGCTGAACACATTACCTCGCAATTTCAGCAAACAGCAGTGATTAGTGACACCGGTGGAGCACTTAAAAGTTTGTCTTTGCCGTTTTGTAAATATTCTCTTTAGGAGTTCTTTTTTCTTGTTCCAAGTTGCTTGGCGATGAATTTACTGATTCATACGACAAAGTTGATGCTGAAATAGTAAAAGCACTACTAGAAGAAGCCCAGAATGATCCTGCTTCGGCTTACACTCTTCTTGTCATTAGAAACATCGCCGCTTCTCCCTTTCCTGCCGATGTTGACCCAAATAATGAAAATACCCCTGACATTAGTGTCTTTCGCGAAAAACGAAAAAACAATTTGGAAACTATAATCCGAAATCTAATAGAACACCCTGATAACGAGAACTTCCGACGACTTAAAATGGGCAACAAGTTAATTGCCGAGTTATTGCAATTGGAATATGGCCAGAAATTTTTTGAGGTATTCTTTCCCCCATTGAGTTGGATTAATCATCATTTTAGACTTGCGGATTCATTGAAACGGAAGAAACTACTACCATGGAAGATGGATCGGCTTCTTCGCTAAAACTTCTTGTTTTTCCCGCCGCACCATCAGAAGAACAGACTTTACAGCTGAAAGAAATGCTTGAGCTGTTAAAATCCGGTGAAAAAATATTTCCGGAACTTGTTCGTGATACAGCTGTCTTTCAAGTACGCCGTTTTTGTTTGTTTATTTTATGCAAAGTGGTCTTAACTTAAATGAGTAATGACTAGTAAAGTATTTAATCTATTTATGATTACAGTTGTGAACTTAATTTTCACGTCAAATATGATGTAAAACATTACAGGGCTTTAATTCTAGAGTTCTGTTGCCATAACTTGTGCATTTAATGGCTTGTTGTTTTGACCTTTCAGGTTAATTGAGTCTAAACTTGCAGCAGTTCTTGGGGTGTTTCCTATATGATGGATATAAATTCTGTTAAACCTCTCAATGAGAAAAGAAATAATTTCCCCCTATTTTGTGGAGTGGAGGGGGGGGGGGGGTTTCAAAGAGCTAATTGGACAGGAATTTTTCATCACTCAAACTATACCTTTAACTACAACTGTGTAGCCACATACTGATGTCTTGTCACTAATGTTCGTAGCATAATCCCAACAGTTATTTTGTGAAAAAGCTGACACTGTTAAAAAGTACAAGCAATCTACTTAACCTGAGTATTTGACAATTCTTAAAGCCACTGATCTTAATCAGAGAGATAGTATTCTAAAATCTCTGGTATGCCAACCGAGCGGTCTTGTAATTGGCCCTTCCAGCCACTCTTGTTTTCAATTTCTTCACACGTTGTTTTTGAAGGAAAATGCTAAGGAAATTTTCTGTTGAGAGCTATCATTTTGTTGTTTGGTGACGGACTTGATCGTCAAGGTCAATCATAGTTTTATCAATGACAGGAGTATGTCTGGCTTGCAATATGCCCTTAACTGTGGGACCTGGAGTAGTTTATATGCCTGCCTGTTTTCCCAGAGGTCACGCGTTCGATTCTCACTTCTGTTCTCTTAAAGTACGGTTTAGTATGTGATTTGTAAAGTGAACGGTTGAATCCGAGTTTCTCATCTCTAGCCAAAATGAGTGTCATAGTTCGGCTTTCCAATTCAGCTCAACAACCAGAGGTTATAAAGAGTGAAATGCAGAAATTTTTACTTTGTCAGTTGAAAAGCCCTTTTGATATTTTGTTAATCCGTCTTCGTATTAAAGCCCTGGGTTTTGAACAGTATACCCTACTCAATCTTAACTAGGACGTTACAATGTGGTATGATGAGTATCGAGGTTTAAAATTTAATTAATTTGACTGTTAGGGAATCATCCCCCATCCCTCTTTCTCAAGCTCTCTATTGTCTTATGCTTCCATAGGCCAGTGGAAGGGAGGTGCGCGAATTTTCGCATGATGATCTCCCGCCGGAATTCTTCGCCATCAATCTGAGCGATTTTCGTCGCATTAGAGATAGTATACGTCAAGTGACCTCTGATAAACCCCTTCTCACAAAGGCCTCTCGAGATCGACTCAAGAAGCTTAATCGTCGCACTTTCCGTTACACGCTAATTCGTGTTCGCCTACCGCAGAATAATCTACTTATTCAGGTAATTGAATAACATTAGCCATACTTTTATTTAGGCCATCACCACCTTAGACTGAAGTCGGTGGAAGTGTTTTTGTCTTAACCATAGGCTATTTGTGATGTTTAACCATAGTACATCGTTCTTCCTTTCAATTCATGCATTGTGTTCACCTCTCTTACTGTACTTGACAAACTTTGAAATTAACGCTGATTGATTCAAATGTTCGAGTTATGAGTGTATGTGGAGACATTTACAAATATGAGAGCAACGGTAAATGGGTCAAAATGGTCTCTTCAATCGAGGCGGTTACTAAGTCAGAATAATAAAACGATTTTAGCATTTTCCTTTTCATTGCTTATCTTGAGCACTTTTTTTCAATTTTGCCTGATTTTATTCCAAAAGGCAACATTCGCTACCTCCGAGACAGTGAATGACGTTCGGATTTGGTTGAGTGGTTGTCTTGCTGATCCGTCCATTGAGTACAGTCTCTATGCGCCACCCGGAACTCTCCCTTCAACTGGAAACTCAAATCGACCAGCTACAGCTCGAGTCCCACTCGATGAGTGTGAAGAAACTTCCACATTGCTTGACCTTAATCTCTTCCCTTCTGTTATTTTAAACCTCTCATTAAAACCCAATATGCCATCGAATACAATCATTCAACTTTTGCCTGAACTGGAAGCTCGTGTTGTCCCCCTGTAATTTCCCCTCCCAACATTTCCGACTGACTAGGCTAATTCCCCTCCCCCCTCTTCTCCGAGCCCTTTTTATTATCCCTCTTTAATTGAACTATCTAATGATGAGAATAGATAACTTCATTAAGCCACGATCTATGGATATGATTGTGCGTCAGTGGCGTAGCGGTCAAGGGTTTAGTGCTTAATGGGTTGTGGTTTTTTTCATATTAGAGACTTGAGGATGGATTCACTCCGTTCAAAATTACAGTCTTTCAAGTGATTTGGGTGAAGTTGTCATTGAGGAAGAATCAGATTTCACTTTTCTTCATTTATGGAGCAAAAATGTAGCATATGAGAGTTAGGTTTGCTAGCAAAGTTTTCCAGCAATTGCAAAAAAAGATACGTAAATTGGTCCGACTGTAGATCCTATCAAGGCTATGAATAATGAAAATGCGTGGATAGATGAAACGTGATTCAATTGACACAAAAAAGTTGAACTAATCATCATAGTATGCTCTGTTTGCCTGAAGTACCTTGATGTCTAGAACTCAGATGAATGCTGTGACAATGTATGTGTGGGCCTGCGTGTTGATCCAAACAACATGTTTACAAAAAATGCCGAGTAGGAGTTGGAGGAGAGGAAATGCAAGTTGACTTTTGACTTCTTGCTTAGCGGCTTTTAACGCATGGAGAATCGCACATTAAGACTGAGAGGTATCACGTCTTGGCTGGAGCATATCATTGAATAATGGGACAAGAAGAAATTAGGGGTGGGGGCGATCTAATCGGGTCCAACACTGGCCCTAGATGAGGGGCTAGGGGCAGATACTTTACCGCGAAGTTCAAACTCACCCCGGATATTATGAAGATATCTGCTTCCATAACTTACTGTAAAAATCAATAATAGTGAAAGATCACTGAGACATTGACGTTATTAGATATTAGGACTCTAGAAACTGAGAAGAAGTGTGGCAAAAAATATTGGCGATTGAGATGATTGGCCATTGGAAGAAGGGCTGACACAAATTTATCGAAGAACCTGCAATCTGGTTGTTGATCATCCTGATGACTAGACATTTTGCCTGGCTCCAATACAGACAGCCTATGGGAGTAATTCATATCCTCCAACTGGTTGAGTTATTCATTGTTAATAAAATGGATATATTCCTTACTGAATTCTTCTTCTTCAAGTCATTCGCACTTTGAGTAGATGGTAAACATTATTTATTTATTTATATCAAATGATAGGCGTTTTGATGGTTATCATTAGCCCTTTTTAGTTGACTTCAGGCTTCACAGAGGGTACAAGATATTAAAGTGAACAAAAGTCGAAACGGGGTGGGGGGGGGGAACAGAAGAATGTTTCAAAGAAGAAGGTAGAAAAACGGTGAGGTGAGTACTGTTGAAGTAATCGATTATGACACGGTGGGGTGATGGTAGTTTGAAGTCAGAAGTCGACCGCCGGTTTATAGACTTTTTTGCCATATGAGTATACGTTGCCCAGGGTGCACCACGTGGAGATAAGTCCATCGCACACCCCGGGATGGTAAACATTAAATGCATGTTGCGAGATGCGCTCATGTGACTTCGAGTGTGAATAGAGATTTAGTGGCAACAACGATTTCTCATGACAAATAAGCACTTATAATAAGCCCATCTAAGTACATAGATTGAATTATTTAATATATTGTTCAAAATTATTTTACAATATTGCTCTTTATTCAATGATAAGTTACCCTAACCCATTGACAAAAGTTCAGTGAGTTGCTAAACTCAAAAAAACTTGATTTAACCCCCCCCCCAGCCAGTAATCTTTACAACAAGATTCCTTAGTATGGAAAGGCTCCTTCTCACGTGATCAACAGAACGGCCGCACTTGTTGGGTACGGGGTAAACGGCACGTCCCCCCCCCCCCCCCCTCGTTCCAGAAGGTCCAAGCCACCATGAGTCGCCTCGGTTCAGTCATGTGAGCGTTATGCTCTCTCTACAAAAGCGAGTGCGACAGGCAAAGAAATTTCACATTGTGATCAGAATAGAAGCGGTATTATAGGGTTAAACCTGCTTTGTTAAGTTCATGACAAAAGTGAACTCGAGTTAAGTAGACTTACTACCTTCCTATTTCCATCGCATTTTTGATGATTAAATGGCACATCTACTAAATGGTATGACTGACCGCCCTAGTTAAAATTGATTTGAAGAGAATTAACAAACTGAGGAGTTCTACTCAAAGCAAGACAAATGCCGATCAATCAGTCCAATTAACAGGCTGGGGAGATTGCAGATTTCATTTGACACTACCTGTAAAAATAATGGAAGGATGGGTTATAGAGCATAGGCGATATATACCTCCCAATAAAGATATCCGAGCGTTCTAATTTAATTTTCATCGAGGGGTGCGCTATAGACTTACCTCCACATGGTGCACCCTGGGCAACGTATACTTATACGGCAAAAGTCTATAAACCGGCAGTTGATTTTTGACTTCAAACTACCATGACCCCACTGTGTCATTTTCGACTACTTCAACAGTACTCACTTCACCATACCTTTTCTCTGCCTTTGTGTCTGTCTGTATCTTTTACATCCGTGAATCACTCTTCTGTTCCCCCCCCCCCTCCCCTCGACTTTGTGTGACTTTAATGTCCCTACTCTCTGTGAAGCCCGTAATCAATAAAGGGCTAATGATAATAATAATTTATTTACATCAAATGGCAGGTTTTGTGATAGCTATCATTAGCCCTTTAGTTAACCCCGGGTTTTACAGAGAGGAGGGGTGGGGCTATCGAAGTCACGGAAAGTCGAGAGAGTGAATAGAAGAATAGAAAATGTAATAGAGACAAATAGACAGACACACAGGAAGAGAAAAAGTAAGTGATATGAGTACTGTGGAAGTGGTGATATATGACATGCAGTCAGTTCATAGTAATTTGAAGTCAGAAGTCAACTGCCAGTTTGTAGACTAGTTTGCCGTATGGATATACGTTGCCCAGGGAGCACTTCGTGGAGGTAAGTCTATCGCACACCCAAGGAGACAGACATAAATGTAAAGAAAAGGGTAAGGTTTGTACTGTGGAAATGGTCGACATATGATATGACATATGATAACAATCATAAAGTCTATCGTTTGATATGAATAAACTTTCTTCGATTGTTTTTTGAATTCGAGATAATTAAGCCCC